GGTCTCTTCCAACACAGTTGATTCTATTCACATAAGCCACAGCAACACAGCACTACATGAGTGGAGCTGAAGCACAACAGTTGGTGTGTAAAGCCTCACATGAGAAGCACGTGCACTTTAGACAGCCTTTCTGTCACAGACATCTCTTCCAAGACCACATTTTACACATGGCAGTAAGACTCCTAGGAAATATTTGATGATGACTGCTGCCCTTCCTAGCTACACAGCAGCCATAGGGTTACTGATCATACGGTGGGATCAACCAAACTGCACAGAAATGGACTCATGAATAGGAATTTTAGCAGAACTCTTTGATCTGACTTGATTAAAAACAAACCAAAAGAGCTCCCCAGGTGACCTCTGTGCTCAAAGCAGACTGCACCAAGTAAAATACTCACCCTTCCTTTGTGCCACCATAGGTGCAGCAAAAGCAAATCAAAGCACATGAACAGCTGTGACACTCAGTAAAGTTTCAGCTGTTTTGTCTGAACTAAGGTAAGGAGGAGTCTACACCATACCTTTTCCTTTTCATCACTAATATAGACAGAAGACAATTACGCATCTGTTTTACTTTTCAGGATGTTTATTTTGTACACAGAAAGTTCTACAAGCCAAAAAACCAGAATATTTTCAGCAATTCCTTGAAACTGACATCTTCTGAATTACCATGAAGAGTTTGACTATTCTACTCCTGCACTTAACAGTTCACATAGAGTAAATTGAAGGCACTGGAATAACAAGCTTTTTCTGCCACAAAACACTTTCCTTGATAAGCTTCCATAGTATGAACAGGCTTTGTTGTTTTATATTCGAGAACTAAGCCTTCTCCCATTTCAGTTTTAATTAGTTTGGTATTGACAACTTTACCAGCATTGCTAAAATGAGTACTCAGTCTTACAACAGCTTCAGATGGAAGGTTAGGAACTATGGCTTTCAGGTCTATTGTCGACTCCTGCCCGAAGTTGAGAACCATCATGAAGACTCTGTTTAACCCATCCAACTCCCTCACATACACAAACACGTTACTGTCATTCCAGATGTAGCACATCCACCCCCGATTAATGGGGAGCTCATTGTTGCGGAGGAACGTTAGCTCTCTGTACAAATTCAGGGTTGAGTTGGACCAGGTCATCTGGACCTGCAAGGAACAGGGTCAGTTCTTGGCACTGTGTGTAGGAATTGCTCCTTCCTTCTCACACCCACTCGGCTGAGAACGTGCCTATCAGAATCCCATTTTGACAATTATCCCCTCTTCATGTTTGCAAATCTCAGTGAAAAACTGCTTTTTCTCATGCATTTCCTTGGAATTTGTGGAGTAGCAGAGACAGGTTATTAGGCATGACCCTTTCCCCAGCACCAATGCTATTACTTTGTCCCACAGCCTCTTTTTAGTTGTGTTGATTCAGGGAGAAAGCCTCAGCCATTCCAGTCTTGATGCTGGTGCTCATTCAATTGAGTCTAACCTACTGAAGTCACAGGGTTTATTTTGTGGTTTATGCTTTGGCTATCTTAGATTTACTTTTTTCTGTCTCCAATTCTGGTCAGTACTATAGGGCAACAAAATCTATTTGATGCACTGCTCTACTTATGTTAAAGATGGTCTATGTTAAGTTCTTGTTACAAAGCCAGTGCTTTCTACAGCGATAGAAATGGGGAAAAATACCAGTTTTCAATTTAATATTAAAAGTATGTTAAAGAGCCAAATTGCCACATTGACACCATAATGGCAGTTGCTCTCCTTATATGAATGTGGATGTAACAGGCTCCTAGCTGGTACAAGGATTTCCTTTTCTAATAAAACTTGGGAGGATTCAGTGCCTTTTTTTCCCCTTGAGTTTGTTCTTACTGCCAATGTCCACTAAGTAAAAGGAAGCCAGGGCAAAATGGATACCTTAAAATGTTGTTAGACCATTAGTTTGTCACACATATAGATACTTACTTCCACATTTACACTTTGGTAGTTGGAGTTAACAGGCAACCAGCTACTGTTGCCTTCAGTAAAACCAGCATTAGCTTGGCCATCCCACTGCATGGGGGATTTCTCTGGAAAGGTCACCTAGAAAATAAAATGGTGATTAGCATGTGAAAAAGTTACTCTTTGAATAGCATGTTCTCACATCCTCCAGATTATCACCGTTTCAGTACTGCTTTCTTTGGCTTGAGTTAAAATTTAAGGAGGAGGATATAATCCTCCTCCAAATCCCCCAGCACGGCTGGGTAAAATGAGGATGGAATTCCAAAATGACTCTACTACAGTTAGTTGTCATCCTTTGCAACTGATGGTTGGGTAAAAGTTGACTAATGACAGCCAGGACATTCTGAAAAATAGACATGCAGTGAGTGAATATATGAGGCAATGAGTCCTAAAAAGAGATGCCCTCAAAATAACAGTAAACAACTACTAAATGCTGTTCAGTGTCTGTCCTTTTGTAACCATTGCATTCTTCACCTTTGAACTCTTCAAGCTTAAATTTCCAAGGGGTACAATTTGGACAGGATTGTTTGTGGTAGAAACATAAAATTATTATCTACAAGTGCAAAACTTCATTGAAAACCAGCTTTTAGCTGATTAAAAAGTGTTCATGTAAAAAGTCTGAAGTTCTCACTTTGAAGAATTCAGAAAAATTCTGAAAAAGCTTCCACATTGTTATTGAAAAGCTGCCAAAAGATCTGACACTTAAATTTAATGATATAAGAGGGCATAAAATATTTTGCACATACTTTGAGTGTTTGTTTTCCATGAAAACTGTTTTTCATATAAAGGGCACTTTTCAATGCAGTCTGTCAGAACAGCAGCTCAACAAAAGAAATTGTCACTTTGCTTTGTGACATTATAAATAACAGGTTTCTCCTTTTTAGCATGTTCTGAAAAGCAGGGGGAAAAAAATCCTAAGTTTTCAACACTGGTAACACTGCCTCTCATCTCTACCTCTTTCAGTGTCTCCTCAAGTGTTTTAAATGCTGGGGCTAAAGAGCAAATACACTCCATCTTTCCAGGACACCCATTAATCAGGGAACCTTCCTCTCCAGGCCGAGGAGAGGGTGGGTTTGCATTGTTCCGAAGCTGTGAGCCACAGGGTAGCCTCTAAAAGAGTAAACCCTGAGGAGCCGAGGGTGTGCCACTTTTCTGAAAAGAATCACTCTGTCAGCAGTAATCAGCAGCTGCAAGAAAATGCAGGAGATAACTTTGACCCAGGTGTTTCTCAGAGGAAATGAGATTTCCTTTTAAATCAGACAATCCTTTCCTCGCATCTGAACCAGACAAACCTGGTTTTCAAGTACCTCTTCCCCTCTGATGCAAAACTAGCCAACACCATTTGTAACATCATCAGAGCCTGTGCCATTGCCTAGCAGAGGCTTTCCAGGGTGAAACCAGCATCTGCCCAGGACCACGTTCTCTGGGTGCTCAGATATGGCCATGAGAGGCAGAGATGAGCTGTTCCCTTTTGGAACAGACTATGCATGGCAACCAAAATCCACTTCTGCTTGCCACCAGGCACCCACCCCTTCGTGCACATCCCTTCTTCTGCGCTTGGGCACACTGCAGACAGCCATGGCTTCAGCAGGTGTTTTTGCATAGTCAGAGCAAAGCAGTCTGCAGGAGATGGTAATTCTGACTACAGTCTCTAGTGAACTCTGAGTTCCTTCAAAGAGCAGCCAAGAAATAATGGACTTTGACATAATGATTAATTAGGATACTTCCACAGAAGGAAGAAGATAGTGACTCAGTTCCCCTTGCCTAATAAACCTGCAACACACACAGTACTTGCTGTCCTTTCTGCTGAAGGGAAGCAAAGTAACACACTGCAAACCATGAAAGACTAATCTGGAGAAGGACAGAAATCAGGAACCATAACTGAATTCTAGCAGTTCAGGCACACATCAGGGCCTTGGTTCTGGTCTCTGGCTTGGCCATTTCTACATGCTTGTCCAATGGTTTTGCCATGAGGAACATGGAAAACCCTCTAAACAGTGACAACAATAAGGTTTGGTTAACGAAATAAAAGTTTCTGTGTTTTTGAACGTTCTATTCCTTGGAACTGAACAACAACAGGATCAGTTTACATGCTCTTCACTTACATCTTCTGATGCAATGTTCTCCATGCCTATTTCTTCACCATAGTAAGTTACAGGGGTACCAGGGAGGGTTAAAAGCAGCATATTCATAACATTGGCATACTCTTTGCCAATGCGAGATGAAATCCGAGCAGCATTAGGGCTTCCAACCTGAAGAAAACATTCTGTTAAACATACATTATAAAATGCCATGCATATGTGAAACTGATTAAGTAATTTAACAAGGTAGTAATGGGGTTTTTTAATTCATTTTTTTTCCCCTCCAGGGCTGTGAGGTCCATTATCTTTATCTTGGTGCCATTAGAAACTTCTGTCCCAAATAATTTAGTACCCAGAAGCTCTGCCAGCAGCACATGAGGCAGAAGTAAGGAGAGATGACAAGTAACTCTCCACAATTACAGTTCCTTCAGATTTCTGCCATTTTCTCTGCTGTGTGAAGATTGTTCTGCTTGTTTTGCAAAGATCCCCTGCACATTGCAAATGTGCTTCCTAGCAAACGTGGCCAAGGGTTTAAGTTAACTGCCCTCAGTTGCCTGTTCTGTTCTACCCTGGCCCCTGGAGGGGTCCAGAATCCATCACAGTGAGTCAGTTTATGGTCAGAGATAATGACACCAGTGGTTTAACACAACGTCCCATTCCTCACTGGAGACACTAAGGGAGAGGCATGGTCATAAACTTTCTTCCTTCTCCCTGGCATGGGGAGTGTATTGAAGTGCAGGAGAGCCCTGTGGGCTGGCTGGTGCCAACGACTGCAACTCTGAGAGTTTTCACATGCATAGCAACTACAGCTCAGCCACAGGCTCAGGCTGCTGCTGATCCCACTGAAATCAATGTGTGTGTGTGTGATTTTTATCACCATTAAGCAAACAAGCCTTTCCTATAAGACTTGGTCTGGAACTCTTACTGCCCAGTTTGGCCATTTTCCTGCAGGCATGTTTTTCATCCACAAGTTGACAGCTTCAAAAACACTGTTGCCCGATAGATTTTTCATGTTAATTAGGTTGAAATTGAAGGGGAAATCTGCTTCTTGGATAAAAGTTGTTCCATAATACATCATTGTTGCTTCAATGTCTTCTTTCTCATCATCGTCAGAACCCATAAATCTGCAATGAAGTACAAAAATATCTTTTTTGGCTCATTGTTGGCTGCACAGAACAGAAGGAAGCTAGAAATGGTTGGACATTAAAAATTATGTTCACTTCCCTCCTCCCCATCAGAAAGAAGATTAATACAGAGAAACAATATTTTGTAGAGCAGACAAGGAGTCAAGGAGAAATACTTCTTGGAGATTGCTGGAGAAAAATCTACAAGAGTCAACACATGGCTCAAGTATCTGCCTGAAGTCTTATCTTTCTGAATACATGTCCATAGATTTCATTACAGCAATTTCCATGCTGAAAGCTGACCTTGAGCCAGTGATGTGCCCTTGCAAGTAGCTCATGGTATCCTGGGCTGCATTAGGAGGAGTGTTGCAGAAGGTCAAGGGAGGTGATCTTTCCCCTCCATTTTGCACTGATGAGGCCACAGCTGGGCATGGTGTCCAGTTCTGGGCTCTCCAGTACAGAGAGACACAGACATACTGGGGAGAGTCAGCAAAAAGCCACCAAGACTATTAAGGGCCTGAAACATCTCTCCTATGAGGAAAGGGTGAGAGGTGGGACTGTTTGGCCTGGAGAAGTCTCAGGGGGATCGCATCAGTGCATGTAAATTCATGAAGGGATGGTGCAAAGACAGAACCAGGCACTTTTCAGTGGTGCCCAGTGCCAGGACCAGAGACAATAGGCATAAAGTGAAACACAGAAGGCTCCCTATGAACATCAGGAAACTTCTCCATTGTCAGGGTGACTGAGCCCCGGCACAGGCTTCCCAGGGAGCTTGTGGAGATTTTCAAATGCTGTCTGGACAAATTCCCAGGCAACTGGCTCCAAGTGACCCTAATGAGCAGCAAGTTTGAACCAGAGAACCTCCAGAGGTCCCTTCCAAGTTCAGCTATTCTGTGATTTTAACAATCTCTCAAGTCAGACTGTGTGTCTGACTTGAACCGCACTATTAAAACCATACAATAAATCAGGCACAGGGCTAACGAATTACAGCATCTCTGTGACCAGAATAGTCACCCATTCTGCTTACTTTTGACCAGTCCATCGACAGAGCAATGCTACCCTGGCTAATTCCTTTCCTTTCCTCACACATTGGGGAAAAGACAGTTTAGCCTATGCACTGCTATTTGTATTTGAAGCAGAAAACCTTTTGTGTATATTATGTTATTAAAAGCAAACCATTTTATAGCTAGCAAGAGGGTGATGAATATTAGAGAAAAATTCCCCAGCTGTAAAGATGCTCACCTGTATCTGCCAGGTTCACTGCTGAACTGGTTCATGGTGTGCCGGAAGCTACGGACAATGTCATGCATACCAACTTGTGTGGTTGTGTAGTCATGGTAGAGCTGGGAATAGGCTGTGATACTCTCCTTTAAGAAGGATATAGTATTTCCCATTAGTTCACCAATATTTTAGATTTCAGAGCTCTCCAAATTCTTCCCATCCTTTCCTGTGACAGCGCACCAGGCCACATAAATTTTAGCTGAAATGAGTTTAGCATAACAACACTAACAGCACAGAGCTGAACTGCACTTGAAGAACTCTAAAAATATAATAGCAGAGGGGTGATTAGTTTGAATCCCATCTTGCAGGAGAGAAAGTCCACCCACTGCACTAACCAACCAAGGCCATCTGCAGCAGCAAGCACAGCAGGTGCTGTGGCCACACACCAGGCTGGAAAGATGGGCAATGCCTTGATAAAGTACCACAAAAACAACAATCCTTGTGAAGCTGACCAGTTTCATGTGATCCCCAGTTCCACAGAGGTACAGTGTCTTAGTGTTGGCACTATCTGGGAATGTCATCAGGTTCATTACCACAACAAAAGCAAATAGCATACATAACAGTGTTCATGCTTTTTTAACATGTCTGGTCAGCTCTCACTGTGGAATACTGCCAATATGAGCTGTATTTTAGTTTTTCTCCAATTCTGACTAGCAATGTAGAAGCTACAGAGTGCCAAGCAGGCAAGAGCTCTGAACTCATCTCCTGTAGCAAGTCTCCCAAAGATAACCAATCAACTATTAAAATTATAAGATTGGTGGTCTTAGAATATGAATTGAAAAGCAATTAGTTTAAAGAGAAAATTCAAAGCAACAATGTCAGAACAGAAATACAAAGTGTATACAGACACTTCTCCCACCCACAGTGTTCCTGCTTGCAGCTATCTCACTGACCCACATCCTCGGCCCAAGGAGCTTCTTCCTTGTGAGCTCTCCTTCTGCAGGATGCTCAGGACCCACCTGCCTTCCAAGGGACAGGGCTGATGCAGTTTTCCAACAGCCACAATAAAGACCCAAAGGAGTACAAATGCTCTCTTGCCCCCATAGGAAATACAGGCAAAAAGCAAACACGGAACATATACATTACTCCATTCTGAGACTTGTTCACTTGAGGCTCATCTCGGAGATGTGTCGCTTCCAAGAGAAATTTAACAGTGCTGAAACTAAATCCATCAACTCCTTTGTTGAGCCAAAATTTGATAATATCCTAGTCAAAGGTAAAAATTGTAAAGTCCAAGTGAGCTCACTCCATTCAAAACAGTATGTTCTTAAAAACAAAACTAAACCTGATAGGAGGTACTATAACATAACAACTGATTTTTCAATTTGTACTTCAAATTTTACTAGAAGTGAATCATGTCAATCTAAGGTCAAACTAAGATCTAAATAAAGCATGTCTTATTATTTCATCCAGTACAAAAAAGAATGACTGGTCTGTAACTTTTCCCATAATTCAGAAGAGCAAAGCCAGGGCATGTCTTGCTGAAAGCCATTTCCAATCCCATCCATCACAACAATCAGGCTCATGCCAAGTGCTCTCATGGCTGCACACGATTAGAACACATTGATTCAAATATGCCAGAAGATGTTGTTCTGCACAGACCTTGTGCCACCAATTTTCTTTTACACAATAGAGCTCTTAAAACATTTGTCCTCTCTTATTTGACCAATGCATATATTAAAATTTTATTTTCAGGCTTATTTATTTGCAGGGACATGAAAATTATTCTCCAACAATTACAGATTTGTAATTCCACTGTCAAATTCCAAGCTTTGTCACAATTAGTAAAATTATATCCTAATTCAGTAGCTATTATATTACTACAGTTTTAATTGCTCTAGTTTTAACAAAAAACTCTAAAGTTCAGCCCCTCTTGAGCGGTTTCTGCAAATGTTCTTTTAAACATGCTACTAGTCTTCATCTGAGGAAGATTTTTTTAGAAGATGGCTATTGAATAACCTTTTTTAAAAAGTATGGAGTCCACTTGCTTGAATAGGCTGGAGTAGAACTAGTCCACACTCAAGCTTTACAGAATTTTGTATGGCACATAACGACTCCACTTTACTGAGCTGCACCTTCTCATAGCACCACTTTGAAAGCAGCAGCTCTCAATATCATGTCTGTCCAGCACTGAATCTACCTGAAAATATTCATGCTTATGCCTGTGCTCAGCACAAATCCAACACCAGGTACTAGCACTGCAAACATCAGGCACTGACATGGCACTCAATGAGGTCAATCCACTCCTAGGTATGCACGAAAGCTACAAGTTGGTTGCTAAGTTTTGCTGTCCTTGTGTGCCCTTGCAAGGCTAAACCAGAGGCTTGAGCTTCTCTGCAAAACTTCATTTGCTTCTTGCTTAGTCCTCCTAACCTTCTGGAATAGGATTTTTGAATTAAAATACTAGACAAAGATTAATCTTTAACGTGATGTTCATAAGTATTTACCAAAGGTTGGTGTTACCAGGCAAAACTTAGTCGTTTTCATGTCATCTTTTTGCATAGGAAATGGAGCATCTATGTGCTATTGGAGCTTCAGTAATGTATCAGGTACCATAAAAAAAATTAATTAGCCAGAACATGCTATGGAAAAAAAGGTGCAAATGGCAAGATGTGGTATTAAGGGAAGTATCAAGACACAGAGAGGTTACTAGCAGTGCTCTTCAGGAACCAGTCTCAAAAGCAGTCTGGTTTCATGTTTTAGTTTAAAAGTATCACTAAAAATGTTTTGCTTATTCAGGCACACAGGGTACCTGTGTGGGGAGGGGAGAGACACCACAGAGCCAGTGAGACCTACCCAATAGGACTGGACAGCTTTGAAGACTACCACCAAAGAAATGCACCAAAATTCAACAGTACAAAGTAGCAAGCACTTCAGGAGTACATCAAAACACCTGAGTGGCTGTACTACCTGATGAGGTATAACTTTAAGGAAAGGGAGGGAAAAAAAAAGCAGCAATTGTCAGCCTCCCCATGTTCAGGCCCACCTCTCCATATTTTAATGAATTCTGCATTGTCTGCTGGGAGAAAGGATGCAAACAGGTGTGAGATTCCACCCAAGCACCTTGCCTTGGTAAAGCACTCATACCATGCCTCCTTCCCCTCCCTGTAAAGTCATCAGACAGTCAATCAGCATTGTCTCCGCTCTCTTGAAATGCAAACAGCTCTCTGCTAAAACAAGGTGTCACCCGCACATTTGGTGGCTAATCAACAGCTCCTAGTATCAACAGAGATAAAAACTTCTCTCCACTTGTTTACATCATCTCTGGACATCTGTTTCAGCACAGGCTTCAGTACCGGAGTGGCTTTACCTTCCAGTCAATCCCTCCATTAATTGTTGTCCTTGATGCAACATCCAAACACACCAAGTGCCTTTATCCTTGGCTCTTGATGTAGAGCTGAACACAGTTCACTGCTTCCAGACACCAGTCACGCTGGATTGTTTGAGTTCTAGCACCAACTTCAGAGCAAGTAACAGAAATCTTAGGGCACCGAGGGAGAAACACCTAATGCCACTGCACAAGATTCTGCTCAAACATCTTTTCTGGTCAATTGGTTGAATTCTGGCCATCTGCATTTGAGAAAAAAACCTCAGGCTGGAAGTGCTCTGAGGATTGAGTAGCAGCTAAACAAAGGGACAAAGAGTCTCTCTCTCTCCAGGGAAGACTTATTAAGTCCACCCCATTTAATCTACCTTAACAAGAGCTGGAAACCAAATAAGCATAAACAAGGGTAGGAAAAGCCCTTTACAGCTGAAGGACAGGTAAGATTCATACAGAGCTGAGTATGAGCAGTTTACACATGGCTGAGATGCAGAGGGATCCTGAAGCATCAAAGCAATTTTAATATAGACTTTAGTGGGAAGAGACAGGGAAAGGAGCTCGTTTTAAACTGGAATAACAATTTAATATATAGTGGGAAGAGACAGGGAAAGGAGCTGGTTTTAATAACTGCAATAACCTGTCTCCCAAAAACCCATCAAGCTCTTGCCACACTCTCGTGAGATCAAGGAACTTAGCAAAAAAAAAAACCAAACCAAAACAAAACAAAACAAAAAATCCAGCAGTTGAAACTTCTTAAAATCCACAGGACTGCAACCACCTGGTGCCAGTTAGTGGGAAGAGACAGGGAAAGGAGCTGGTTTTAATAACTGCAATAACCTGTCTCCCAAAAACCCATCAAGCTCTTGCCACACTCTCGTGAGATCAAGGAACTTAGCAAAAAAAAAAACCAAACCAAAACAAAACAAAACAAAAAATCCAGCAGTTGAAACTTCTTAAAATCCACAGGACTGCAACCACCTGGTGCCAGTAATACCACTCAGGGACAATTTTATTCTGATTTTTTGGGGGATTTCGTGTTTGCGTTTAAATTAGAAAGACTGGAAGCATTACAGCACAAAGCTTGAATTTAGCTTGTAAAGTTAATGTTTTTCTAGACACCTTCTTGTTTCAGTTGTTCACATATGCTGCAATCCTTGATTTGCTTCCAGCTGGACTGTAAATCGTGTAGCACAAATAATCAGAGAAATCAAGTGCAGAAATAGCTGCTTTGCTGTTGGCTCAGCAACAGTAGGCTACATACTTACATGGAATTCTTGTTGCACAGCAGAGTTGCGAAAATTTAAGTCTGGCTGTTCTTTCCCAAACTGGTGAAGATAACATTGCTTTCTCACATCATCAAACTGCCAGCTGGAATTCCCAAAGACACTCACCTGCTCACATGAGGGAGGGAGATAATCAGAACTCCTAATTTAACAAACATTTACTCCTATGCATGCTTTAAAGTGTGGGACATTACATGCATATAATAAAGCACAAACTGCCTAATCAATGGCATCAGTTTGGAGTAGATCTTGGTATTTATGTGTTTCATTTCTTTTCCCACTAGTTGCTCTCCCTTCAATTGTGCTTCACCACATGTATTTCTTGGTCAGTGTTGTGGGGTTTGGGGTTTTTTGAATTACTTGGAATAGAGGGGAAAACATGGGTGGGGTGGGAATATTTATTTTGGAATTGCTTTTCCTAAAACTTACTAAAAATAGCTTTAGTTAACTTAGAGCTTTCTGCAATCTGCTATGATCCCTTTGAAACACCAACAACATTCAGTATGTTAAAAATGTTCATTTCATCCTCATCCCCATAATAAAAGATTCCAAAAAGCTAAGATAGCTCTTAAGACTCTAAGTTTAAAGAGAAAAGATACTAACTGGTTCAAAGCATTAATTCTACCTTGAGTTTTTAGAATATACCAGTTCCTAATCATGCACCCATCAGTTCAAATAGCAAATAAACCTATTTGAAATAGGCAACACACTTTCTGGTCTGAACAGAAACAAAAGGAAGAAAGCCAAGAACACAGTTTTGTTTCACTCCCCAACAACTATGATTTCAGAGGAGCTGACGTGAACTTTCTAGAGAGGAATACCCAGACACAAGAGACATGTGTGAACAACTTGAGCACAACTATCCTTTCTTTGTGTTTGTTTGATGAATGAAGACTTAACACTGAGGTAAAGAAACAAAAGTAATTTTTGAAATTCTATTTAAAGCAGGAACTCCTCCCTTCCCCCTCAATCTGGTTTAAATCTTAATCTGCTCTAGCTCACGTAGTAACATCAGTTTGTACCTCTCAACAATCATTTATAACCCAGTGTACGTCGGGACAATTATGTTACAGCTGGCTTTGCTCTGTGGCAGACTGAATCCAGCCTGGGATTTGCATGTGTCCTTTCCCATATTTACCCAGTTGTTTGGAGGGATGACTGAACCAGCAGCCTGCACACAGTCCTGCCAGATGTAGTAGTCTGTGTACTTCCCTGTTCGATTTCGACTCAGCTGAAACCATCGGTGTTTGTCGCTTGTGTGGTTTGGGATTAAATCCATTATCACCTTTAGCCCTTAAAAATCAAAACAAAAATGTAAAAAACCCTATTAAATTAAAAATCAAAACAAAAATGTAAAAAAACCTATTAACATTAAATTTAGCCTTTTAGACAAAGTTCACATTTTTTCTTAATGCAGTATCAGAAGTATGTTTGGGCTTCTTCCATCCCAGGGGTTTAGCAAAGGAGAGAGGCAAAAAAAAAACTGGGCTTCTTCCATCCCAGGGGTTTAGCGAAGGAGAGAGGCAAAAAAAAAAAAAAACATAAAAAGTCCCAGACTACCAAAACAGTTAGACTAACTAGAATTTGCAAGTGGCTGGAAAAAAAATCTTGCTGGTGCTGTTTCCCCTAGCCCATTGCTTGTGAGGGAAAGAAGGGTGAAGAAAAAAAACCAGAACAGATTCCTGCTGTTATCACCACTTCCACTAACTCTGACTTTAACATCTTCCAGGCAGGAAAAGCACTTCATCAGTGAACACACAGTCCTCATCACCCTTCCTAAAGACTACACATTGTTTTTTAAATCCCAAATGTTTTTGGTCTGGCAAACCATTTTGCATTCAGCTCAATAGCTGTAAGAAGGAACACCTGAGCATCCATTTGGTCTAGGTCATAAATGAACCACGGATACAATCACAGAAGGCATTTGTGCCCAGACATTCAGTCAGAAACAACTGCGTATCAGCCTTGATCCCCAGACTTTTGATTCCCATGATATATGCACGAGGGCATGGATAGTATGCCAGCCCACCACCCATGAACATCCTTGGAGGGGACCATCCCTGACACTGTAGCTCCCTGTCCCTTCAGTCCTGCTTCCAGCATTCTCCCAGTGCTAAGGGGCAGCAAACAGCAATCACAGAGCTTGTGTTGCTAACCTGCACCCTTTGATGGCACCTCCATCTGCTTCTGCTCATTGCCACCATGGGGAGGAACTGCCAGATGCACAAATCGAAATCCCAGATCATAACCTAGTGCCATAAGGTACACCTGAGTAACATGAGTGAACACCATCTTAGTACAGTAGCTTTGCTTAGAGTTGCAGCTTACCTCTGTCATGTATGGCTGCAAGTAAGTTCTCAAAATCACTCATTGACCCAAATATGGGATCAATATCATAGAAATCTTCAACTCCATATCCAAGGTCTTTTAAAGGGGACTTATAGAAAGAGGTGATCCAGATGGTTTTTATATTCAAATATGTAATATGGTCCAGTTTTTCTTGGATACCTATTTAGAAATAAAAGGACATCACCTGTTTAGGAAAGACAAAATAATTTTGTCTAACTAGGTTCACCATGGGCTCTGAAAGATGGTACACAGGTCCCTTTGATACATAACCATTCCCTATTCTCACTCAGGCAGCAGGACAGTCTTCCTGTTTCTTCAGGGACAGAATGAGATCACAGAACAGAAACCACTGAAAGCCAATTGTCCACAGAAAATAATGCAGAAATTAAAAAATCAGATCAAAGCAAACATTATATGTATTATAAAACCATTTCTTTTAATAAATTTACCATCCCATTCTGAAAATAAGCTCCTATATTTTGTTAAAAAGCAGCAACAGCAATGATTTCCCATTTCAAAGAACACTAACTAATCCTCAGACCACCCAAAAGGAAACACAATAATTTTAATGCAAATATCCCAGGTTTTTCCTGCCTTAAGAGAAGTCTCATGTGGTAGTGTTTTTCTGTTTTTTCCTGTAAGGACACCTCACTGCACCCTGACCTAGTATTTTTAAACCCATATCTTTTCATCTGTATGACCAATTAGTACTGGCATGCAACTACAGAAGCAGTTTCTGCTCTTCACATGCCAGTACAGTGTGGTTAGCACTTCATGTTCAGAATTTATTGTCCATTTTGGTGTTGAGCTTTCTCTTTCTGCAAGGCAGTCTCAGCTAAGCTACTGGTAAGTGGCATTGTCCCTAAGTTCTTAAGAGCTGAAAACCACCTAGACCATGACCTCTTTGTCAGTTTTAGCTTACCTTAGGTAAAGCAGCCAACAATACCAGACAAAGTGCTCAGCACCACTCATACTCCTGCCTGACGTCAGTTTTGTGGAGATATTTCATTTTGGTGACAGCTGTGATGCTCCTTGCTCCTAGCCCCATCCCTCAACATCCGTTCTAACTCCAGGTTTATACTTAACAGCTTGAGCAAGCAACTCCTGAATTTATTCATGACAGTGTGAGTTGCCATTAATGTTGTCAGAAAACTTTTCTTTCCCCTCTCCATTAGGGTGGCCTTGTTTATTGGACCGTATTTTTAAATTGTTCTTGGGTTTTATATATAAAAACCAACTGTTACACAGCTTTGCACACACCAAGAATGAAAACTGACCCACCTTTTAGATCACCATTCCCATCCATGTTGCTGTCCCTGAAGGAACGAGGATAGATCTGGTAAATAGGACTAGCCTGCCACCAGTCAAGGCACTTGGGAGAGAGAGCAATGATGGTAATTGTAGCACACACAAGCACAACAGTAGCAGCAATTATGAGCCAGAAGAGAATCTCCCTGGTGACTCTGTACCGGGCTTGGCTGGAGAACTTCAGCAAGACATCCTTTGGCATCCCAGCATAAGGCTTCAGCACTGCCTCTTCCACAGCCCCTGGGTCCACATCAACAGCACACGGTTTTGGCATTTCTTCCTGGCTACTCGCGTCTGTCTCCTTGTCATCCAAAGCCTCATTTTGAATAAATCCATTGTTCTCCACACCTCCCTTCTCACTCAGCTCCATAGGTAAGCTCTTAGCTTCCTCCTCGACCACGGGTCTTGTCCTGGAGACTCTGGCCACAGCGAGGAAGTTGCCAACACACCTTTGTTCAGTGCCAACAGCATCTGGGTTGATAATCAAGCCTGACCAGCCAGTCAAAGTTCAAGACGAGACAAAAAGGGCAAAGTGCTACCAGTTTTTCGCATAATCGGCATCTTTAGCAAGATAAAAAACCGCTATAAAAGGGAGGGCAGTCCTCTGGGGAAATAAGCCTATTGTTTGTACCAGCTAAGCACTTGTTTACTGTTGCTCTCTCCAGTACACCAAATTTCTCTTCCTTTTGACAGCAGGGAGAAATCCAGGCTCTAGCAGTAAAAGATGTAGTAAATATGTAGCTTTCCAGACTGGTCATAGCCTCCCCTGCCTAAAGCAGTTTGAATATGGGTAATTTAAAACACAGACAAGGGAATGATGACTACTGGCCCAAAAGCAACAATACAAACTAAAAAGAAAAGATAACAAAGGCTGGTTGTGCTTCTTTGTCACAGTTTAACAATCCCCCATCAAACTAACCCACCGCAGTCCACTCACAGCTCTTAAGCACTAACGACTGCTAATGCACATGCCGATCCAGCAATTCACAGCCTGAGACAGGAGATTCATTGCCATCCCCGGTCAGGACAGGACAGTTCTGCAGAGGCACAAGCAAAACTCAAGAGAGGAAAACCACACTGCCCACTATTAAAATCCATTCTCACCCCTTCCCCCATTAAAAAAAATATTAAAGGAACCTCTCCCTGCTTCCTCCTCCCCCCGTTTCTACTACTCTAGGCAGTAAAAAAACTTTGCCCAAAGCCTACACAAACATGTACGTGCCCCAGCTGCCCTGAAGCCAATGAGCCCACAGCTCCTCCAGCCAGTGCCCCCTGCCCAGGCACACCAAAGGGCACACAAAGGAAAGAAACATTTGCCAAGGAGCTGCCTTATCACCTGTAAAAGTAAATACCTGACCATGATGATAGGGTCAGGGTCCTAGGGAAACTCCCATGGACTACTGCAGTGGAGAAAAGGTTTGGCTTTTGACTCAAAAAAAGTTTGCCTCAGGCCATGAAAGAAGTGTATCAACTAAGAACTGTAAAAAATCCAGCACACAATATTCAAATGACTCAAAAATGTGTTACTTCTTTAGTAGCTGAACTAAGAAGAGGTATTTTACTCTTGAGAGATTTAATCCTTTTCTTCCTCCTCCTCACAGCAGTGGGTGGCAGCATCTGGCAGTTCCCGAAGTCTCCGAGATAACAGCAGTCATTTCATTTCAGTGCCTGGAATTCTGCATTGACAGGAAATTCAGAAGTGGGAAAATGTTTGAAACAGTCTCACTCCCATCTAATGACTCCACAGGCTTAACATCATCAGTAATGACTCTGTATCTTAACATCATATCAGTAACTTGTACATTTCCAGGCAGCCACGGTATGTTCAGGGCATTAATTTGTATTCTGTCCAATGCCAACCACTCCCCACCCCATTTCAGCTGTTTCATTTCAGTGATTTAACTTCCAATTAAAATAGGAAATATGTAAAAGGACTTTTTTTTTTAGATTGCATCACACAGACCTCAAGACCTAGTACTCCCCACCCTGCTTTTCTCCCCTGCCAAACTCAGAGGATCCCCACAGCTTCCTGCACTACCCAAAAGCTTCAAGCACCTGAGCACAGTGGACAGCAAAGCGAGTCAGAGGCAAGAGTGAAGAATTATCAAAACACAGCTGCCTGCCACACACACATGGGTCAGCCAAGCTGACTAGTTTCAAGACCATCAGGTACAGAGAGGGCTTGGTGCCAGGGCCAGGAACGTCTGGGCAGAGACTCACAGCACCCAGCTGTGCTGTTGGTTTGCTTGGTACCACATCATGACTGCATCATGCAAGACTTGCCACAAGTCACGGTCAGCATCTCTTTTGAAGAATGCAGGCCAAGTGAGGATCCCGATGTTTACCACTTTGCAACATGGGCATACAATGAGAGAAGGTGGGTGTCAGAGCACTTACATACTTGAGACACAAATCAGCACTTCTGCAAGTCCCACAAAGCATCCCTGGCAAATCACTGGGACAAAGGCCTGTAATTTAGCATAACAAATAGCTGCTTGGTAGGCAATGCTGCATGCCCATGCCTGAAGTTAGTTTTTTGTCTAATTCACCAGCATTTCATGCTAATTTGATCAACTCTTATCCCTGACTGCTTGTTCCTGCCTTGCACTGTCCCCTGCCTCATGCCAGGTGAAGCATTTAGGCAGCTGTGCAATGAGCCAGACTGGGAAACAGATTTGGCTGAGAACAAAAAAGAATTTAATTGTTCAGAAAGGTCTATTCCTTATTCGCATGACCCCCATGAGACCACATCAATGCTTCAGCCAAACAAGCACAGGGAGGAGGAGGAGGGCAGCAGCTAGGGAGAAGGGCCAGGACACAAAGTGTAACCGATTGACTGAGCAACCCTTCAGTCACATCATCACCTTCATGTATCACATTTGTTTTACTACATTCTGCTCTGGCCTCAGAGAAAGCCCTATCATTTCACTTCTGGGAATAGAAAGCAGGTAAAGTCTTACACCCATCAACACTGCTGGAATCGAAGATGGGGAGAGTTTAAACTCCATGAATGGCTTATCCTGAGTCACACATGAAATCTGCAGAGGATCAGGGACCTAACCAAATTTCACCCAAGTACTACATCACCATTACACAAAACACTATTGAAACTCTGGTTCCAGTAAGTATTTCAGCTTTCTCCCTCACCTCTAAGTCAGCGAACTTGATGACTGCTCTCAGTATGTGTGGTTTGGAAACCATTACATCCCCTTATTCGAACATCCTGAAGGAGAGCAGGAGAGCAAGGGCCTGCTGTGCAGAAGCCATGCTTTCAAAAGAGCCCCTCTTGTCCTAATGTAATCCCCAAATAACACTAAAGGTTTATTTATACCTTAAGTAGGACAGATCGTGTCTTAATTGCCAAGCTTCTGGCTGAAAAGAAGAGGATTATACTGCTGCAGTAGATAAAGGCAGTATGCAGGAGTGGGAGGCTGTGTATAGATGCATCTGTGTGCACTACCTCCAGTGGCTGCAGGGCACACAAAGATCAGTACACAATTGTAATGTTAAAACAGAACAAAAACCCTCCTGGAAACTACCAAGTAGCAGTGTTGGTGAGGATATAATGTTTAGAGTCAGACTGACCATGCTGACTGCCAGACTTCAGCTGTATTTCAGATCAACTCCATGTTGCTATGTAAGAAGAGCTGAAGCACAAGCATAGACATCTGGACCTTCAGTACTAAAAATCCTTCTAGGAAACCTGGAGGAAACATACAGCCAAGGAGCTTAGAATAGGTCTGGATGATCAACTACCACAGACCCAGGAGAACAACCCCAAGAATCCAGTATCATCTCCTGTATGGTCTTCCTCATAGACTAAAAATACAACCACAGAGATATTTTGCTTTTATTACAGATCTATTTATCTTGAGGAGTTGCTTGCCTTAAAATAATTTGGTAAAGAAAAACTGCAAACTTCACCTTAGCAAGGCAGATCACCAAAAATTCCCACTGAGTTTGAACTTTGTCCTTTTAAAATGTATTTTACCTATGCAGGCATTATGCTTCTGGCATGTTCTCAAGCAATTCTGAAACAGTTCCCTCCTGAGCAATTTTACAGTTTAGCAGGAGTAACTAGCCAATGCAACTGCGTTAGCAGAATCCACTGAAAAGCATTAAGGAGTAAAGAAATCACTTCATATTCTGTGCCAGTTGCTCTGTTTATCTCAGGGTTAGGTAGTGCAACAAAACCAATCGGTATGTGGGCAGTAATAGCTGCTATCTCCACACAGATTGCCATGGTTATTTCAATAAAATGGAGGGGTGAATTTCCACAAGGATTTCTTATATATAATTATTTAGATGCACTGACTTAGTCATCTACTGTTTGATGCTCTACAAATGCCAAGAGCTTGCCAGTTACTCAATACCTTACATGTTACACTGCACACCATGCAGAGGGGTAATTAAGCACCCCAATGTTCTAAGTGTAGGTAGAGGCTTATTGTTGAAAAGTTCTCTTGCTTAATTCTTTTTCATTAAAAGGTTTGTTGCCACTGGAACTAGTCTGACATAGTACACTTTGCCTCTAAATATAACCTGATTATTTACAGAATCAGGGCCAGCTTTACACCTATGTAAAGAGGCAAACACAACGGTTTTTCCTCAGAAGCTCCCACAAGACTGATGGATAATCTGACCTTTAAAGCTCCCTTTCACTCAGCACTAAGAAAGTGCTCCCTTGACCTGGAGGGCAGATGTCAAGAAAGAGACAGTCTTGAGGAACAAGCTTTTGACACAGCATCTTTTACCCTGAGAATCCATGAGCATGTCTGAAGTTTCTGTCATGAGTGTGAAGTCCTGTGGGTGGCAAAATGTAATTGCATAGGACACTGTGACACAGTTTGGTGAGGGTTTGGTTACTTTTATAATGCTCTTAGTCCACTAATGGACTATGCAATTAAAGGTTAATGTCATTATAAATGCTATAATTAGCTACTGCTTGGCTTACATGTGGTTTCAGGGGTAGGTTTCATGGGAAGGAGGCACCTGGCCCCCCTGGGTGAGCAGCATGGCTGGCTTCTCCCACTATTTTAAATGAAAACAATTATCCATGAATTCTTGCTGTTATCATAGCTATGAGAACAACTGCATGCAGCGTTGACTCCTTCTGGATGCCCTCCCCTACAAAAGGTCACACACTATACTGTCACGCATCCCCAGAAAAACTCCAGGCTTGTTGCCTCTCCAGGAGGAAACTCACTCACATAACTGCACCATTCTCAATTTACACTCTTCCCTTTACAGCATTTTTCCATCACAGTTCTGTCCTAGAGGTAACAAATCTCAAAGGATCTTCTTTTCCAGCCTACTCCTTAAACCTCTCCCTGTAAGAGACCCAGACCTTGATTTTACCTCCTACAAGCT